CTAATGCAAGGTGTGTCAACCTTAAACAATCAAAGTAAGATGCACCTCCGAATCCTTGTAGAAGATGCAATTTCAATACTTGAAACCCCTACAATAGCTTGAAAATATTTTTCCACTCCTAATTATGTAACTTAAAGATCTAAATATGGTGTAGAAGGAGCAGATCTACAATTACTTGAAACTTTTGAAAATAGACCGTATGAATAGTATGGTACAAAATACACTATTTTTAGGACCAGGAGTCCTTCTTTTCCCAAGATCCATTCATTCCCAGGTCTATACGATCAATTGAATTTCCAACATCGAAACAACCTTTCTTGGTGGTATTTGAGGTGAGTCTTAGTGCTGGCACCTTATATAACTTCTCTCCTTATGTTTTTATGTTTTATACATGAAATTTCACTCACCATTGACTGCTATGCCCACCTCAAAGGAACCAAAAAATATTGAAGCTTATTTTGTACACCAATGCATTTGGTGGATCATATAACTGACCGATCTAATGGGGAGCATGACTCTATGTGGTCAAGAAAAGATTGTATGCATGTAATAATATGCTGATATCCAAAATCACCTCAATGCGGAAATTCTATGTTATTGAAATTAATATCGATATTGATATTGATATAGTTATTAATAATGATGACTTTCCATATTTATTAGAATTTTTATATTGTAAGATGTGAAATCTCTTGTTTTTAGGAAACCAAATTGTAATAAAAATAAATCCATTTTTTAATGGGATAACATTTGCTAGTTATAGGATTTATAACTTTATATATAGAGAATGAGGGATGAAGGAATATGCCCTATTAGGGCCACCTAACGGGGAAGATGGACTTCCTTCTAAAGGAGGCAAGAGTGTCCTACGCAGAGGACGAGCGTCTAAAGAGAAAACTGAGCTTCTAGTAGAGAAATGGTTTGGTCATGGCTCGCTTGGAGAGGCTTGTTTCATGTAAAGAAACAGTTTTTATGAAGATTTTGGGTAATATCCCCAGTGTAGATAGAAAATTAGTTTCTCACTACTCTCATATCTTTGTCTAGTGTGTTTAATAATAATTGTTAGAAGTAAATAGAATAAAAAATGATATGCAATGTCGGTTAGGAGAGTGCTTTCAATGGTTGTTTGATTGGGTATTGTCGATGGTTAATAAGATACTTTTTGTATCCCAAAATATGTGATATACTCCTATTAGTATAGTAGATCTCAATTTTCTATACTCATGGATTTAGCCCTTAGGGGTGAACCATATAAAATGCTAATGAATGTTAGCATGATGAGCATGTGATTTTGATATCAAGATGGAGATTGTTGGATATGGTGATATTCAAAATCGCATCCATAAGAAAATCCCATATTCTTGGAATTGATATTGACATTGACATTGATGAGTTTCCATATTTATTAAGGATTAGGATGTTAAATCTCTTATTTTTAGAAAATAAAATTGTACTGGAATAAATATATTTCAATAGGGTAAGGATTTTTATTTGTTATAGGATTCATAACCTTACATACGTGGAATGAAGGAGAAATAAATATGTCTGCCTATTTGGGTCGCTTCATGGGAAATGTGGGCTTCTCTATAGCAAAGGCCTATTGCACAAAGAAGGATCTTCTTGAGAGAGAAATGAGCTACTAGTGAGAGATATGATTTGTCTGTGCCTCACGTGAAGAGAGATGTTTATTTCTTATAGAGAAATAATTCTTATGGAGATTTTGGGTATATGCCTTTTCCAGAGAAAAATACAATTTCTTGTTGCTCTTGCATATCCATTTAGTGTGTTTCGTAATAGTTGGTAAAAGGAGAGAGAAAGAAGAATGATAGGTGATGTCAGTTGGGAGAATAGTTTCAAGGGTTGTTTGACTAAGTATTGTCGATGGTTGGTAAGATACCTTGTCTCCGAAAATATTTCATGTAAGCATTCGTTTGGTGAGCTATTACGCAATGGTCCTAACGTAGTGAAATTCTTTGTCGGGTAAGTTCCGACATCCCAATCAATATAAGATAAGTAAAATGGAGATGTGGAGTATCCAAAAGGACTTTAGAAATACTTCATTTCGCTTTTTGTAGGTATAGTGGATTTCAGTTTTCTATGTCCGTATATATAGCATTTTGGGGTGAAACATGTAAAATATTAGTGTTTTTTTTGCATTATTTCTTTTTTACTTTATTTTTCTTGATTTTTGCATGTTGCATTTTTCTCATTCTTTGTTGCCAAAAATCAACTCGTCGGGTTATGTAATTTTCACGTGCACAACAGTAAAAACATGTTGCATAGTTATGCACATATGTATATGTGTACAGAGACAGAAAGATTTTGTGTGTGAGAGAGATTCTTATGAATTGTATTTTTCTTTTAAAAGACGCAATCATGCTTAGAAGAGAATCTTATGATATGTGTTTTTGAGAGAGAGATACTTATTCTTTTGAATAGCATCTTCTTTTCAAGAAATGTTTAGAGAGAGAGGAATTACTTGCCATCTGCATCAGAGAGATAGAGATTCAAATTGTATTTTCTGTTCAAATATTTATTTACGCTTAGAGAGAGATTCTTATGAATTGTATTTTAGATTTGTTTA